ATAAACATGCAAGGAATGCTATATACATAAAGACTGAAGATTTATATAGGAGTGAGATTCCAAAATCCGAACGAACAGAGTTTGATGATGGGGAGGAACATGACTGTGATTCAGATAATTCAACGTCAGCATATGAAGATCCATTGAAAGTGGTTCCTTCAGCAGTTGACGATTATGAGGACAAAAGCTCATCAGATGGGGATCGTAAGGAAGGTTGTGAAAAGGTACCAGATAGAATAGCGGAGGCAATTGGGAATGGTTTAGTTTGTGATGTATGTAGTAAGAAATGTATATGTAAGAGTCAGCTTTTAAATCATATGAGAGTACATACAAGAGAGAAGCCATATACTTGTGAGGTTTGCAGCAAGGGGTTCCCTCTGAAACATCATCTTGTGGTACACATGCGGATACATACAAAAGAAAAACCTTTTAATTGCGAATTATGTAGTAAGTCATTCTCACAGAAAACTACATTAGTGAAGCACATGAGAGTACATAGAAATGAGAAACCTTACACCTGTGAGGTTTGTAGCAAAGCTTTCTCCGACAGAAGTAATTTAATGAAACACATGAGAATACATACCCAGGAGAGGCCTTATAGTTGTGAGATATGCAGCAGTGCATTCTCTCAAAAAACTGTTTTGATAAAACACATGAGAGTTCATACAAAGGAGAAGCCTTTTAGCTGTGATGTTTGCAACAGACCTTTCTCAGAAAGAAGTTCTCTACTTAGGCACAAAAAGTTGCACAACAAATGAGGTTTCTTGCATCATATATAAGAGGCATGAGAGTGCAAAGAGATGTTGTATAGTTGATGCTTATACCCAGTAGAATATGAAATACAATTAGAATATATCTTTGTATATATTGAAGAAAGAGAAAATGTTTTACTATACTAAATACGGAAAAACAGCAAAAGCAAATAAAAAGGATATAATGATACACTATCAATAGTCCCACATTAAACAACAATGAGGAAATTAGAGAAGGAACACCCGTACACTATACCGTAATTATTTTGTGTAAATAATATCATGTAATGCCTTTTTCACCAACCAGTTTGTGTTATGAGCCGTCACTTGTAGGCGTTGTTGCCATACAAGGGGAACAGAACCATCGCCAATGCACTTGATTTCTACAATAAACAAGACGTCTAGGCTTGCTCGTGTGGCCCTCCTCACGGGTATTTTGGTATTTGCTGGAGAGATGGGGGCCCGTCGATTACAAAAAACGAGTATGGGGGGTTTGTTCGTAGTTCCTGAGAAGAAATAGTAGAAGAGTGGGTCATAATCTGCTGTTAAAAAACTTTGTTTGGAGGATAAATACAAGCAAGCTCTTATGAAGAACTTGAAAGTGCCCATGGAAATTATGTCATGGATGCTCAATTATATTTCTGTGTAAGAAGTAAAAGCACAATTAAAAATACAAGGATATAAAATAAATCTGTAAAAATAACATTAAATGAAATTTATGATCAACCGGACAATACATATCGCCTGCTTCTATTTTCGACCAAGATTATGCTGACTCGGAAATTGAGGGAAGTGGAAAAGTTGGAAGTTACTAGCGACGTAATGTTGAAAGTCGCTCGTGTGACTGCCCTTGCATGATCCTGATTTCATTGATGCTGCATATAGAACTGCTCGTCCAAAGCTGTCGGGAAGACCGTTCAACTTGTCCAAACAGTCGACTCCAGACCTCCAGAGAGCAGCCTAGTTGGACGAGTTTGTGAACAAAAGATGCCAGGCGTCACAATATAATGGCTTTTTCGAAGAATCTGCTAATATGTGTCTTACAGTGAATTTCAGGATGTACACAGCTATTTTCATTTAGTAATTATACAACTCATATTTATACGAAAACTGACATTGGCATTCAGTTTGTTTCTTTACCAGCTGAGTATTGCAGAGAACTCCGAGCTATTCGAACAGTCCCTTAGGACCCGACTTACACCTGTCTATGTCCTGCATAATAACATTGCTCTCAAAAGTGAAGTTTGCATTGGTTAAGCCTTACAAGAACTCAAGAAGTTATTAATTAAACGACAGGCACATGCTACGTTATCAACTATAGATGGATATTTCTTGCAGTTCATTAAAATATGTAGATAGTTATATCAGTAGGATATATTTGATCTATCTTATACCCACATAGATTTGTATTTCCTCACCATACAATATTATGTACACATACAAACTTGTACATACATACCTACATAAATACGTATTTATGTAAACACATTCATTTATATACATCTTTATACATATACACATAGGTGTATACATACACTTACCTACACATGTATACATATGTATGTGTATGTGTGTTTTATGTAACTGCGTAAAGTGGCAGGTTACCTCGTTTTATCTACGGTGAACTGCCTGCTGTACAACAAGCAGAAAATATTTCACCCACGGGAATTTTGCTCCCCGTGCTAGGTGGAAATGGAACGGCAAAAGCCTTCGGCAGTCGAAGGTCTTTTGCTACTGTACGTTGAATAAATGTGATGTAAATGCTTGTGTTTTAGATTATTCTTTATTCAGTGACTGAAATGGAGAATTCCAGTGTTCATGAAGAATAATTAATCCGAATGATATACTAATATAAGAGAATATCATATCATTATATCTTATTTCCCATTGTAACCAAAAGACCGTTTTTGCAATATCCTTGTTGGACTTGTATGCAAGCACAGAAGACTGCTCATATATAACTACATAAACACACATGCGAACAAACTTGAATGGATAGGAAGAAATACTCTTACTTTCTGTATGTCTTTGTGCATTTGCAACCACACGAGATCATATAGCAACTTGGGAACATGAACAGAGGTTCTCAAAGTAGGGGTCGCGAGATCCTGCAACCCCTCCTCCTCCTCCTCCTCCTCCCCGCAATTCATTCCAATGATTTTTGTTCCAATCATACAATTTTTTTTTTTTTTGTTCTTATTTGCTTGCTTGAAAGGAAGTTAAATTATAATCAGAACTTTACGTTTTCTTGTGTACGTTATTAGCGATGATGTCAAGTGCCGAAATTATCAAGTTAACGGTTTCAGCATCAGATATATTTAGATCACAACCAACTTACCACCAACCAAGAGGAAAAATACTCCGCCGAGGTCACCTAAGGTCAGAACCAGTGGTGTGTTGGTTTTCTTCTCCTTTCCGGGCCTTACCATACATGCTTTAGCGTTGGAGGTCAGGTCAGACATGAGCCGGGTCACCTGGCCGGTTTCCACCAGGGAGGTTAACCTGCGTGTCATACCGTAGTTCAAGAAACTCTCCTTTGGATTCACTATGCTACTGTGGGTATTATCGTGAAACCATTTCTGCACAATCATGTAGATCTGATATAATTTTCAATAGTTTTATCGTATTTGCAAGTGGCACATACATTTACTTTTTTCATATAAGGTTATTGATACAATGAATACTTGTACATTCGCAATACTGATTTGACTGTAATTGATTAAATATGATCACGTTAGATATATTAATATGGAAGTATAAACACATCAGCATTGACCATAACCTTAGTACCCACGCAGGGCTGGACCTTACCACTTGTTGAAAGCAGGGACGAGGGAACTGCCCTTGGGGAACGCCATGGAGAGGAGGGACGACGAGAGAGGTACCTTGCCGATGTAGTAATTACACTGGCCGGTCTCCGTGTAATCGTAATGCATGACCTGTTGGAGAATGCGGAAGGAGAAGGAGCAGGGAAAAAAAGATGAAGCAGGGAAGGGGAGAAAGAATGGAGAGGGAGGAGAAGAAGAGAGTTTATCAGAAGGGAGGGAGGGAAGGAGTGTGAGGCCAGCATGCAAATCACAGAGTGTATTAATACCTATACATACATGTGTGTGTGTGTGTGTGTGTGTAAACACACAATCACATATATAATATGTAAGCGTGTGCATATCTATATAGACGGATGGATAAATAGGCAGATAGGTAGATATAATGAAAATTAAATATTATGGTGATAAATATGACGACACGACATCCAGCCTCGCCCCCCCCCCCCACCTTTGACCCGATCGTGTTAACCTGACCTTCTTTTAACCAAAAGTTACAATTGGAATGAAATATGACACCCTAAAATCAACGACAAATTGTAAATTCGTCAGAAAAGCTAATTTTGGACTCTCCGATTTCCGATCACGGGGTTCTGAACTTGGCACTGATGCTCCTGGCTATTCACTAAGTAAAGTGCCAAACCCGACCTTGTCTCCTGCTGTCCCATATTTGACTCGTGACAAACACCATTGGGATATATGACGTTCATGAAAATGATAATATTAGTTATCATGATATATTAAACTTAGGATTATCGTCATTACTATTGTTAATGGTTTCAGTCGTAAATTAGCATCATCATAATGGCATGATAATGATATTAATAAGAATAAAGATAATTAAAATTAAAATTATGAGAATAATAGAAGAAGTATTAATATCGATAGTAATGATAATGATCATGATAAAATTTATAACAATGATAGTAATAATAATGACAATGATAATATTAATAATAATGGCAATAATCAACATAATTATGATAGTAACAAAAATATTGGTAATGATAATTATAACAATGGTAATCATAATAATGATACTAATAATTATAATAATAACGTCTAAAACAACAACACAGATAACCACTATAAATAACGTCAATAATGATGACACTAACGATCATAACAATACAACCAACACTACTATCAAAAATAATAAAAAGTGCTGCCTGGATCTGAATGCTGTCTGTGGCTTACCTTCTTCATGTTGAAAAAATCCGTGAAGACAGCCACGCGCTCGTTCTTAATGCGGTCACGAATATCCCAAGCAGAAGACACTATACCGGCTCCTTGGAACACCTTTTTCCCAAGCTTCGAATTTGATCGCTGGAAGAAAACGGGAAATAAGAAAACGGACAATAAGAAAACGGGCAATAAGAAAATGAGCAACAGGATTCGCAAGGAGAAAATTTAGGTAAAGGATTTCGGCCGATGAATGCTTGGTAAAGCAAGAATCTGCAGGAAATTGATAATATTGAATGTAAAGGTGCGTACACAAAGAAAGCAAGTTGCCTGCGTGCACCCAAAAAGCTGCATATTTATATATATATATGTGTGTGTGTGTGTGTGTGTGTCTGTGTGTGTGTGTGTGTGTGTGTGTGTGTGTGTGTGTGTGTGTATTTACACATACAAACACACACATATGTATATGTATATACATATATATATGTATATATTCATATATATGTATATATATACATATACATCTTTCTGTATATATATATATATATATATATATATATATATATATATATATATATATATATATATATATATATATATATATATGTTACCCGTATCCTATGTGAGCAACTTCCAGTGCTGGTCGGCGCTGATTACCACCGCGCAGACACCCGCTTTCTTTGTGTACGGACCTTTATGGATGTAAAACAGTTTACTTCTGATTTATATTAAACTTCCCTATTTTAGAGTAGCCGATTTCATGTACATAATGAAAGGAATTTCTAACAAGTCATAGCTGATTTACTCTGTGTTATGAGCTTGTCTCACAGATCAAGATCCATATAAACCTTAGACAGTCAGATCGAAACATATGACAAATTGTATGAGTGTATGATGGACCTACTGCGTAACGCCCGTGCATCCACGTCCCGCGCTCTAGATTCCAAGGGATTTTGCCGTACGAGACGAGGTCTTCCACTGAATCGACCGGGACTGTGATGATCGGGACCGTCAGGAGGGAGGTCAGGACGCCGCTGTAGGCCGAGGTCAGGACACACATAGCGAGCAGCCAAGTGCCCAGGAAGGTCCTCCCCGACATCGACAAGGGCAGCGATTCTGTGGCTGGAAGTTGTATTTTTGAGTGTTGGTTTATCTGGTGGTCGGCGCGCTCTGGGTGTGTTGGTGAGGGTGTATAGATATTTGGTAATGTTCGGTGGGAATTAGCGAAGTCTCTCCTGCATCTCTTGAAGGCCACTAACGCAAAAAAAAGGAATATACTCAAGGTGTTATCTTTCCTGCATCTCTTGAAGGCCACCAACGCAAAAAAAAAGAAAAAAAGAAAACAGATGGAATATACTCTAGGTGTTAAAAAGAAGTAAGATTATCAAATGTGCAGTCAATTATCAAACGGTCAGTCAGTGTAATAGGAAGCATTTCCATCATTTACCACAAAGAAACGAGTTGTACAATTGACAATCTATCTTCCTTGATGACTCACCCTCGTTCATGACAGTTCGCGCGATCCAGGCCATATTGAAGGACGACTTGCTTTCTGGCAGAGAGTCAGGCGTCAGGGACCTGAGGATCACTCCCAAGATGATGGTCACCAGGAGGGAGGCGCCGAACCCCAGCCACACCTGGGCGTACGGGCGCGGCAACGTCAGAAGGATTGATGGGCGATTGTGATCTGTGTCTGTCTGTCTGTGTCTTTATCTTTCTCTCTCTCTCTCTCTCTCTCAGTCTATCTCTATCTCTTTCTATATAAGTATGTATATCTGTGTGTATTCATTCATTTACACAGTGATATTGATATTGCTAAGGGTTAAGCGCCAATTAAAAAAAATGTAAATATCCAATCACATCTGTGCTCATGTACACAATAAATCAGTCATTTGAAAACCCTTCAAAGCCTAACACTGATTTTTTTTCCCTCCAGAACCAGGAGAACGTCCTACCTCAGGAGCGAACGGCTTCAGGAACCCGGCGAAGTCCTTCTCCAGGCGAGGGCGAGGCAGAAGGATCCCCCACCAGTCCATGTAGAGAGAAGTGGAAAAGTCCACCTTCTGATACCTGTCCCACGATATGGACAGCGGGCCCAGCGCCAAATCCGCCTCCTTGGAGAGGAAAGGGGGGAGGGGGGAGGGAAGAGGGAAGAGCAGGTGTGTTTGTTAGGAATATGTGTGGGTGTGTTTAGGGAGGTACAGTGGCTCTTCATTAATTTTTCATTTTTGTCTGCATGGTTGTATTTGTTTGCTTGTCTGTCTGTCGCTCTCTCTCTCTCTCTCTCTCTCTCTCTCTCTCTCTCTCTCTCTCTCTCTCTCTCTCTCTCTCTCTCTCTCTCTCTCTCTCTCTATCTCTCTCTCTCTCTCTGTCTGTCTCACTGTTTTTTTCCTTACCCTCCTCTCCAGCATGCCGACCAACCCAGTAAAGGAGCCATTCGGAAGCCGCCGGCCCCACTCGTGGTCAAGAGGCCTCACGTAGTGGTACCTGAGGGGTTTGGTCAGACGAGTCTTAATGGACACGTTCAGATGCCAAGTGCAGATGTATAAAACACACGCATGTGCCGTGTAAAAGGATTAATTGTTATTTATTGCGCGCGCGCGCGTGTGTGTTCGTGAATGTGTGTGGATATATATATGTGTGTATATATGTGTGTGTGTGTTCTATCTATCTATCCATCTATCTATCTATCTATATGCGTATCTATCTATGTATCTATATATGCGTATATATATATATAT